GACTCACTCACCACCTTCCGGAGACATTTGAAACCCCACCTCTTTAAGGAATACCTGGGATAGGATAAAGTAATCCTTCTACCCCCCCCCCCCCCCCCCCCCCCCTTACCCCAACCCAAACCAAAAAATAAATAATTATATATATATATATATAAAAATAAAATAAAAAGTAGGAAAAACATTTTTTTTTAATAAATAAAAATAAATAGAAAAAAAATAACATTGTAAAGTGGTGATCCCACTGGCTATAAGGTGAATGCACCTATTTGTAAGTCGCTCTGGATAAGAGCGTCTGCTAAATGACGTAAATGTGACGTAAATGGAAAAAAGTATTTAGTCAGCCACCAATTGTGCAAGTTCTCCCACTTAAAAAGATGAGAGGCCTGTAATTTTCATCATTAGGTACACGTCAACTATGACAGACAAAATGAGATTTTTTTCTCTCCAGAAAATCACATTGTAGGATTTTTTATGAATTGATTTGCAAATTATGGAGGAAAATAAGTATTTGGTCAATAACAAAAGTTTCTCAATACTTTGTTATATACCCTTTGTTGGCAATGACACAGGTCAAACGTTTTCTGTAAGTCTTCACAAGGTTTTCACACACTGTTGCTGGTATTTTGGCCCAATCCTCCATGCAGATCTCCTCTAGAGCAGTGATGTTTTGGGGCTGTCGCTGGGCAACACAGACTTTCAACTCCCTCCAAAGATTTTCTATGGGGTTGAGATCTGGAGACTGACTAGGCCACTCCAGGACCTTGAAATGCTTCTTACGAAGCCACTCCTTCGTTGCCCGGGCGGTGTGTTTGGGATCATTGTCATGCTGAAAGACCCAGCCACGTTTCATCTTCAATGCCCTTGCTGATGGAAGGAGGTTTTCACTCAAAATCTCACGATGCATGGCCCCATTCATTCTTTCCTTTACACGGATCAGTCGTCCTGGTCCCTTTGCAGAAAAACAGCCCCAAAGCATAATGTTTCCACCCCCATTCTTCACAGTAGGTATGGTGTTCTTTGGATGCAAATCAGCATTCTTTGTCCTCCAAACACAACGAGTTGAGTTTCTACCAAAAAGTTCTATTTTGGTTTCATCTGACCATATGACATTCTCCCAATACTCTTCTGGATCATCCAAATGCACTCTAGCAAACTTCAGACGGGCCTGGACATGTACTGGCTTAAGCAGGGGGACACATCTGGCACTGCAGGATTTGAGTCCCTGGCGGCGTAGTGTGTTACTGATGGTAGGCTTTGCTACTTTGGTCCCAGCTCTCTGCAGGTCATTCACTAGGTCCCCCCGTGTGGTTCTGGGATTTTTGCTCACCGTTCTTGTGATCATTTTGACCCCACGGGGTGAGATCTTGCGTGGAGCCCCAGATCGAGGGAGATTATCAGTGGTCTTGTATGTCTTCCATTTCCTAATAATTGCTCCCACAGTTGATTTCTTCAAACCAAGCTGCTTACCTATTGCAGATTCAGTCTTCCCAGTCTGGTGCAGGTCTACAATTTTGTTTCTGGTGTCCTTTGACAGCTCTTTGGTCTTGGCCATAGTGGAGTTTGGAGTGTGACTGTTTGAGGTTGTGGACAGGTGTCTTTTATACTGATAACAAGTTCAAACAGGTGCCATTAATACAGGTAACGAGTGGAGGACAGAGGAGCCTCTTAAAGAAGAAGTTACAGGTCTGTGAGAGCCAGAAATCTTGCTTGTTTGTAGGTGACCAAATACTTTTTTTTCCCCACTGTAAATAATCCAAAACATGCATCCTGTTTGCAACAAGGCACTAAAGTAATACTGCAAAAAATGTGACAAAGCAATTCACTTTTGTCCTGAATACAAAGTGTTATGTTTGGGGCAGATACAATACTGAGTACCACTCTCCATATTTTCAAGCATAGTGGTGGCTGCATGACATAATGGATATGCTTGTAATCGTTAAGGACTGGGGAGTTCCAGGATGAAAAGAAACAGAATGGAGCTAAGCACAGGCAAAATCTTAAGTGGAAAACCTGGTTCAGTCTGCTTTCCACCAGACACTGGGAGATTAATGCATTTTTTCAGCAGGACAAACTAAAACAAGGCCAAATCTACACTGGAGTTGCTTACCAAGAAAAAAGACAGTGAATGTTCCTGAGTGGCCGAGTTACAGTTTTGACTTAAATCTGTTTGAAAATCTATGGCAAGACTTGAAAAATGGTTGTAGGGAAAGGGTATACCTCATCAGTTGCACAACAATGCATTCAACCGAAATGTGTCTTCTGCATTTAACCCAACCCCTCTGAATCAGAGAGGTGTGGGGGGCTGCTTTAATCGAGGTCATCGGCACCCGGGGAAGCAGTTGTTGTTGGGGGTTAACTGCCTTGCCGCCCGTGTATAGCAATGATCAACAACCAATTAGACAGAGCTTGAATAATGTTTTTACGAATATTGAGCAAATATTGTACAATCCAGGTGTACAAATCTCTTAGAGACTTACCCAAAAGACTCACAGCTGTAATCACTGCCAAATGTGATTCTCAGGGGTGTGAATACTTATGTAAATTAGATATTTTTGTATTTCATTTTTCAATAAATTTGCAAACATTTCTAAAAGCATGCTTTCATTTTGTCATTGTGGGGTATTGTGTATATATGGGTGAAAAATATATATTTCATCAATTTTGAATTCAGGCTGTAACAACAGAATGTGGAATAAGTCAAGGGGTATGAATACTTTCTGAATGCACTGTAGATTGTAGATTCTGTGAAAATAAAGGTTTGCTGCTGGATCCCCCATACAGAACTCCAATAATCAATTTCAGCACATGTATCAAATCAAATGTTCATGTATCACGGTATATGATGATCGCCCTCGAGCCTAGGCTTAATGGCCACATGTGAAGGTGCTGCTTTGTTTTCTAAAAACTATGCTGCATCTTGTACTAGGCTGTACCTGTCAAGGAAGCCACATAGTGGAAATGGCAATATTTTTTAATTCCTCTAATGTATGATCTCCAAGACTACATTTAACAGTCCAATCTAGAGGTGGAATGCAATGTTTGCAGTATAGTGCTTACCTCAGAACCGTCGGCCTCCGGAGTCCCCTCCATATCCACCACTGGAGCCTCCTCCATAACCACCTGGAGAATGGGCCAGACCTCACGTAAATGCTCAACTCAAGGGACTAGCTACTAGAGAAAAGCCTCTATATTGCTCCCTTAAAACACCAAGGACTTAGGTTTAGTTATTTTAACTTCAAGGAAGTGTAACAACATGGGACTTACCACCACCACCATATGGGCCGCTGCTCCTGCCCCCGTCACTGCCATTGCTGCCACCTCCTTTCATTGGGCCGTAGCAGGAGGACGACTGGCTGTTGTAATTGCCAATGTCATTGTAGTCTCCAGCGCTACCACCACCTGCACTGCTGCCGCCACCGCTAGCGCCGTAATTACCTGCAAGAGGACACAGATAAAGGCGTTTTGCAATCCAAGCTATCCATTACATACAGCTACCCAGATTCAAAACTAAGCGTTGGCCCTTTTTATATGTGCAGTGCACCCTTGCTTGATTGACATACCACCTCCGTAGTTTCCTCCACCACCGCCATAGCTGCTACCTCCTTTCATTGGGCCATAGCTGGAGGACGACTGGCTGTTGTAATTGCCAATGTCATTGTAGTCTCCAGCGCTACCACCACCTGCACTGCTGCCGCCACCGCTAGCGCCGTAATTACCTGCAAGAGGACACAGATAAAGGCGTTTTGCAATCCAAGCTATCCATTACATACAGCTACCCAGATTCAAAACTAAGTGTTGGCCCTTTTTATATGTGCAGTGCACCCTTGCTTGATTTACATACCACCTCCGTAGTTTCCTCCACCACCGCCATAGCTGCTACCTCCTTTCATTGGGCCATAGCTGGAGGACGACTGGCTGCTGTAATTGCCAATGTCATTGTAGTCTCCAGCGCTACCACCAATTGCACTGCTGCCGCCACCGCTAGCGCCGTAGTTACCTGCAAGAGGACACAGATAAAGGCGTTTTACAATTCCAAGCTATCCATTACATACAATTACCCAGATTCAAAACTATGTGCAGCGCACCCTTGCTTGATTGACCTACCACCTCCGTAGTTTCCACCACCACCATTGTTGTATCCTCCTCCTCCATAGCCACCACCCTGGTTGCCATAGCTGCCTCCTCCGCCATAGCCCCAGTTGCCGCCACCATACCTGCCGTGGCCTCCACCATAGCCGCCACCTAAGGAAAAAAGTATAACAAGTTAAGCTTTTGGACAAACCACCAAACCCTCCCCCGACAGCGTTCCCCACATTCTCCTTTCGAATATTTTGAAAAACAGGGCAGAGGAAGTCACCATTGCCTCCATAGTTATTGTATCCATCGTTATCACCATATCCTCCACCTCCTCTCCCTCCACCAAAACCACCTGGGGGAAAAAAACGTTTGATCTTTACTGGTGTCAGACTAACTTGAAGCCACCTGCATTGCACCAGGGCAACCAACTAGTACATTAATTAACGAGGCTGAATATGGTTAAAATGGTAATAAAAGCCCTCGAGTGCGCATATCTCTAGGGCTGGGAATTGCCAGGGACCTCACGATACTATATTATCACGATACTTAGGGGCCGATACGTATTAGGATTTTATATGTATTGCGATTCGATACTGCGATTTTATTGCAATTTGATGTTCCAAACATATTGCTCAGTATGTGTCTGCTGCAGAGACAAGACAGCATGAGAAAATGAGTTTTGATCAGTCATGGAAATAAGTTGGCTCACTTTTTAAAAAGATGGACAAGCTATAGGATTTTTTTAAAATACTGGAGTTTTGGCACAGGTACAGCCAACTAGCGTCAGCTAATGCTACCTATCAAAATAAATAAATACAAACACTATTTTTTTTACAAATCGATACTTGGGAAACAAAGTATCACTATAATACCATCCAAAATAATTTCGCAATACATAACTGTATCGATCCCCCCCCCCATCATTACATACCTCCATATCTGCCAAAGTTTCCACCTCTTGGCCCTGAAAGACAAACATCAAACAGGTCAGTCACTTTCTCAAAGTCACATGTCTAAACCTTCAGTTGTTGCTGGGAAGCAAGGAGTTGGCAAAAGAGCTTTGCTCTGGAACTTCTCCAATTCATACCTGACCGGTTCATGTCTTCCTTTGACAGAGCCTTCCTCACTTCACAGTTGTGACCATTCACTGTTTGATACTTCTGGACTGCAAGGGGAGAAAGGAAATTGTTCAAAACATATCAGTAAATTACTTGAGAACTGAAAAAAATGAAACATCCAAATACACAACAGCAGCTTTTCTGTACCAATGGTATTGACTTGAGAACTTACTGACAATCCTATCGACTGAATCGTGATCATCAAATGTAACAAAGGCAAATCCCCTCTTCTTCCCACTGGTTCTATCAGTCATGATGTCGATGACTTCAATCTTGCCAAATTTATCAAAGTAGTCTCTAAGGTGGTGCTCCTCTGTGTCCTCCTTGATTCCACCCACAAAGATCTTCTTCACCGTCGTGTGAGCACCTGGCCTAGAGGATTCCTGTCCAACACACATTACATTCAATCACTTCAAAGACAATCAGAAGATCCTCAAAAAGGACATTTCACCATTGTTCAACTTCATATTAATCACCAGCACCACCCCAACATATGTGAAAAAGGTTTCTATGTTTTGTAGTGTCACATCAGACATAGCTTACCTCTCTGGACACGGCTCTCTTGGGCTCTACTTGTCGGCCGTCAACCTTGTGAGGACGAGCCTCCATTGATGCATCAACTTCATCCACTGAGCTGTATGTGACAAAGCCAAAGCCCCTAGATCTCTTTGTGACTGGATCTTTCATGACCTGAGGGAAAAAATGGCACTGTTAATTTGCTGATACAATTAGAAAAGCCAGACCCTAATATTATGAAAAATTCATACTCACCACACAGTCTGTGAGGGATCCCCATCGTTCAAAATGGTTCCGCAAACTCTCCTCGGTGGTCTCGAAACTCAGCCCACCAATGAAGAGCTTGCGGAGCTGCTCCGGCTCGCGGGGAGACTGAAGTGAATAATAGGAGGGAAACAAAATGTTTTAGAAGCAAATGGGTATAATTAGCTACTACCCACGGCAGGACATGTCTCCATTCACAGGTAATGATTATAGATAACATATCTTCATTATAGCTATATGTTACTACAACGGCCAGAAATGGTATACTGTAACGTTACTAACCAAGCCTGCGGCTGCTTGAAAACATGGGGAGCCTGGGCGGTCAACTATATAGTTAGCTAGCAGTACTACAAACTAGCTAACAAACAATGCAATGTTTTCATAAAATGTAACGCAATTACCTTAGTTAGCGCTTTTAAAGTCAGCGACAAAAGCCTAAGTTATCTCGCAGAGAGCGCTAACGTTAGCCAGCCATTCTTGCTAGCGTCACTGCGCGCCCTCGACTAACGTTAGTACTACTAGTTTAGGCTAGCTAATGGCAACTGTACACCTTATTTGATGCATGCCCCATAAAAATGTAGTTGCAATTGTGAACAAATGGGGTAATGATTTTACTAAAATGTATCTTCATAATAAGTTGTTAAAATATTGATGATTCGCTAAATAACAATTCAGACAAAGAGCTTTACGCTAGCTAATGTTAGTTAGCCAGAAGTCTAGCTAAATGGCCTACTGTCATGTTTAGGTAGCTAGTTAGGTAACTAACACTGCGCCGCATACAAATAACACATGACAAACGCTACAACCTATCAAGTTAATTAACTAGCTAGCTAACACGGAATAGTATCCAATAAATACAAACGTAGCTAACGTTACCTCCTTCGACATGTTTTTATGGTTCAGCCGTAGCTTTGATAGAAATCGAGCTACTTCATGCGAGAGCTCGTGCCAAGCTAGAGCGACAACAGCACTGCTGTATGAATGATAGGAATCAACAACCAAGTGATCCGCCCCCTCCAACACAGTTATAGGTCAGTTTTCCCACTTTTTTCAGTTGCATAATCGCCACCATCTAGACTGGGGTATAAATCCATTATACTTTGATCCACAAACTGGGGAAAAACGAATACCTTACCATCTAACCCTAGCCTAATTAAAACCCACCCCCCTATTCCACAATTTAACCCTATCTGGCCCTGGCCCTACCCCAGGCCTGGGAGGAGAGGACACCACAACTCATCAACACACCCTGTAACTCTTGTGAAGTCAAATCTCATACGCCCAAATACTTATCGGACGCTGCCAATCATGGGTTGATAATATGATTAGGATAATGCCTTTGGCAGGAGAACGCATATGAGTAAATCTTTATAAAAAAGTATTGCCTCCACGTGTCTATGGTGGGATTTTGGCTATAGGCTACTTTGAAACAAGGTAATATGTGCCTCATAATATGAAGTAAAACGTCCAGGTTTCAAACAATATAGAGATGCTAATGATAGGCCTAACCGTCTTCTGGTAGATGGAAAGGCTTACCCATAAACCTTCTCTATTAAATGTTAACTAGCTACAAAGTAGCTCATGCCTACCTGTCAGAATGATATCATGAGGATTATTTGCATCAATCCAGTGGCCATTTCTTTAGCAAACCCCATATCATGTGCTACAGAAACACCGCTAATCAAACAATAGTGTTAGGTGCCTTGAATTAAATGGTAACTACTCTATAAAAAAAAGTGCAATTTCGTAGATTTTCCCCAGACCTCAAAAGTGGTCTCCTGATGTGGTTTAAGCATTGTTATGGACTTAGAACATACTTTTCTTATTCTTTTTTTTTTTTTTTTTTACAGAAAAACAACAAAATTGTGACATTGAACGAAAACCTGAAAAAATGTGGGGAAATCTGAAGCCTGTGAATTTCTGACTCAGTATATCTGTTTCAATAATAGGCCTACTATTAGCCTACTGCACAGTACAGCTTGGGTTGGCCTGACTGTGAAATACCAATATGGGATTGATCCTTTTAGGTCATTCAGAGTTTGTCACTGTTTCTCATATAATCTTTCAGGGTGCCTTTCCTTCGCCGGGCGGGCAGTTAGATATTTTTTGGCCAGAATAAGAATATACCCACTTCTCCAGCACCACTACATACTGTATATCACTCATTGACCTATCCCTCTGTGCTGGCACAGATCTACTACTCACAGGGATCCTCTCAGGATCCATCACCCTTGACCCATCTTCCTGTACTTTCTTCACTGCCTCAGCATACGACACCCTCTGCACTACTCTAAACCTGGTAACCTCAACATGCCTCTCTTGCACCAGACACTTATTTCACCAATACTACACATTCCTTTGTCTCATGCCCTTCTGCACACTTCTCACACCTCCCTCCTACACACTGCAGCCACATGCCCATAAGCTTGACACCTGTAACAACGTAATGGGTTTGTCACAAAAGCTTGTACAGGATAACTGAAAAATCCTAACATCACTTTGTCGGGGCAAAGACTCAACATCAAAACTCAAAAGAACAGACAATGACTCTTCTGTCTCACCGCTCACGCCACCCTGCCTACATCGCACCAAACGACGAGCATCACAAACACCAGGAATCTTCCCCTTCAGCTGGTCCACCTTCACATTTACCGCCACACCAGTAATCACTCCTTTCAATGGCACCCTGTTCCTAAGAGAAACCGATCTTGCCCTGAGTTGCGTGACACAGAGCGCCTACTCCCTCTGGGCGGAAGAAACACACACAAATGTCACAAGTCCACTACGGGTTACCTTCACTGATTAAACTGCACCCAACTCCTTTCCCACACACCCTGAAACCACAAATGGATCTGCCAAAAGTCAAGGATCCATTTTCTCCAAAAATGGTACTCCTACTGGACCTGATTCTTCTTCTTTATCATGTCCATTGATGCAAGGCTCGGGCTCTGAGCTCTTCACCACACCTTCCACTTCACTTAACTCGCCCTCACTCACTTCCATTTCACCTCCAGCACTCGATCTGGTGTATTGCTCACTCTGTACGTGCCACCAGTCTTCTTCACCCCCCATCTCTCTTTCTACGTATCTCCATCTTCATCAAATTCAACCTCTGCTTTCCTCATTCTCCTTGATGCCTTCTTCCTCTTTTTCCTCTTCCACTCCTCCCATCTGAAGCAGAAGACTGTCTCCTGCAGCTTAGGTAGAGGCAGTAAGTCCCCACACTCATAATAGAAGTGCCTGTGGTTCCCGCTTGTCTCTGTAGCCTTTTTCCACTGGACCGGCTCCATAAAATCCATGCTCGTCTTCTGAAAGCATGTCCGACATGCGTCCACTCTCTTCAGTTTACTGCAAATTGGTTGGACCAATATATTATGGTCCGTGCTATCCAGGATCCTACCCCCAATGAAGTTGACATTTAAAATGAGTACTTATGGGTGTCAGGGAAAGTTTATGTAGTAAAAATACATTATTTTCTTTAGGAATATATTGAAGTAAAAGTTGTCAAAAATATAAATAGTAAAGTACATATACCCCAAAAAAGTATTTTTACTTATGTACTTTACACCACTGTGTATGTTCATTACTGTTATTGCCATTATTATTTGCACCTGTGTCTCCTTTTAGATAAAGCATATGCCATACAAAGCGAACCAAGGCTCAATTCAAGTCAAGTCTTGTGTCAACAACTGTCAATCATTCCCTGCCATGTATCATCTCCATTACCTGAATCTATAAAGAATCTTAAACTGAACTGCATCTCTGCCTCCGCCTGCTCTTTAACTGGAGTCCCACAGTAGATGGGCATCACCATAACCTCACCTATACCTCAATCCGTTACAATCTTGTAACTGAAGAATATTGTGTGACAGGCTAGGAACCAAAGTTTTGGTCAGTGTTTCCCTGGGCACCCTTATTAGGGGAGGACATGCAGGAAATGTATAAAAGCACACCATGGTCATGTTCAGGTGAGAGTGTTGTACCTGGAAGGTTGTTTGTGAGCAACCATTTTGTGTACATGCTGTCTTGAAGAAATGTTTGGTGTGTGGTTGATTGTTCTGAATGGTATGTGTTGACTTTGACCATCAGCAAGTTTATTCATGTGACAATATTCAAGATGTTCATTATGTAAAGCCACTGCAATAATGCCTATTTGTTTTTAGTTGGTTTGTTTGGAGATGCTTTGCTGGTTTAAGGTCTAGGCAGCCCTTCATCATGACTCTCAGTTCCATTACATTACACATGTCATTGGACGAAGGCGTCTTCTGTAAGGGGGAGTTTTGTTAAGAGCTGCGACGCTAGGTCTGAACATTAACGCGCATCGCTTGCGGTATGGTTTTGGAAACATAAGGACTTTCTTTCATACAGGGGTTAAAGTACTGCGACGGATCCATCATATGGATTCTGGAGAGGTCGTTTTTGAGGTCATCGTAGATCCGCAATAAAAATGTCTGGGGGGACGGGGACAGACAGAAGCGTGTCTGTTCTGTGAAATATATTCCCAAATGTATTCTCAAATATCTTATTTTCTCTGTTATGCTGTGTACACTGTATGAAAATGTATGCACTCACTAACTGTAAGTCGCTCTGGATAAGAGCGTCTGCTAAATGACTAAAATGTAAATGTAATGCACTGAACTGACATGCATGATTGTTGATGACGCCGATGTTTAGATGAAGGGAATTAAATGGTCTATAATGCGCATCAGAGCAGCACTCAACTCCGACAGCAGTGTGTAGCCTACTTTAGCTCCTGGCAAAGTAATTCAAAGCCTATACATTATCACTCAGGATGTAACTTTCCAGTGCTACTATTTTCTGCTATGTAATGTTATTCAAACAAAATCTGACAACCCCGTAGTAGAAAACTACCTATTTTCCTAGTTGGCTTGTGTGTTCTATGCAAGATAAATATTCCTCTCCATGTGCATTCAAGTTGGGAGAGCCATAGGAGGAAAACATGTATTCTGACAAGCAGTCAATGCACAACAATTTTAATGCAATTGCGGGAAAACACTTCTCCTCAGTGAATTTCATAAAAATAAAAATAGTGAAACATGAAAGTTATCCTTTTTAGATAAAAATATACTAAATATATTCACGTCACC